GCCTGACGCCCCAGGGGGCCCAGCAGGTCCGGCAGCTGCAGGAGGAGAACCGGCAGTTCCTGCGCATCCCGCGGAGGTGAGGCCTGCGGGGCTGGGCCTGGGTCCTGCTGAGTGGGCTCAGCCCCTCGGCGGCTGCAGGCCTAGGGACAGCTTTGTCAGTACCCTGCTCTTAGGGAAGCCACTGCCTGGGCTGCACGAGTCTGCTGTGACTGGCATGTGGGTGCTGCCAGCCCATCTCCTGGTTGTGTGGGTTTCCTGCTAAAACACCTGGCACTGCTGTGGAGCTGGTGCCTCCAGGCCACCTAGAAAGCCTTTCCAGAGCTCTGTGTGTGGTGGACAGAGGTAGGAATAGCCTATCTTAAATGCCCTGCAAATCTTAGTTTGACAAAGCTACTTTGTGAGAACTAGTGTGCACAGGATAGTGTCCTCTGAAGTTACTGAAGTTTAGAAGTAGCAAGGAAAGAAGGTAGTAAAGCTTCTAAACACAGGTGCAGGAACATCTGAGCTGTAACAGTCTCAGTGCATTCTTGATGGATGTTTATTGCAATAATGTAACTGGTCTAATTTCCGCTTCTGACTGCTCACTGCAAAGTGTGCTTGTTCCAGGCCGCGCTGGGATAGGACAACCAGTGCAGAGGACCTGAAGCAAGCTGAGAGGGAGAGCTTCCTCGAGTGGCGGCGGCAGCTGGCCCAGTGAGTGTGCCACTTGTGTCTGGGTCACTGGCTGGTGGGTATGGGGACATGTGAAGCAGTGGGATTCATTTATCCGTGCTGGATCTGTACAATTAACAGCAGCTCCCAGTGATTGTTTTGTGACAGTCCAGACACATCTCTGGTGAACCCTGCATAGCTGTTATGTGTGTATGTTCTTGTACTGTTTGCTGCTAAGGTTCCTCAGGCTGGAGCATGATGATCTGCTCTTGCCTGTGAAGTGGAGAAGCAGTGAATGAGTCTTCTAAGAGTGACAGTCTTGCCCTGGATAGAGCATAGTGCTGCCAGCTTGTGCTGCTCTGGTGCTGTCACTGCTGGCATGGAGAGATGCTTGGGTGATATTTACACACACCCTGTGAACCCACCCTTACCCTGACCAAAGTCCTTCAGGAGCTGGTAATAAGGGAGCTGAAGGCTGTATAGAGGTGTATCAAGTACCACCCCCAAATTCATGATGCTTTCCAGGTGGTACTTGGTTGAGTAATTACTGCTGGTATTTGGGATAACTCCCCTGGTTTTATTATTGTGGCTCTGAGATTTTGTGGGCAGACTTGATGAGTGTGTGTTCTTTCCATCATTTACCACTTGTCTGCTGGCATGATGAGGAGCCATCGTGTCTCCACTGAACCAGCGCCATTGCCCTCGGTTTACCTGGACACAAAACTAGCAGCAGCAGGACCTGCTATATGAGTGATGTGATAGCTGTGTCTGAGACTAAAGGCTCCTGGACCTAGGAAGAGCTGGTGCTGTGCTTATTGCCTGACATGGACCAAATACAATGTCTTTTCCCTGTTCTGTCTTAGCCTTGAAGAGGAAAAAAAATTAGTTTTAACCCCATTTGAACGAAACTTGGAATTTTGGCGTCAGCTCTGGAGAGTCATTGAAAGAAGGTAAGGAACATCACTGTCTACTTTTTATAAGTAATGTTTAATGTGCTTTCCTGAATTGAAGCCTTTGAATCATAGAATGGTTCGGGTTGGAAGGGACCTTAAAGATCATCTAGTTTTAACCCATCTCCATGGGCAGGGACACCTCCCACTAGACCAGGTTGCTCAATATCCCATCCCACCTATTAACCAAGCTTCAAGTGTCTGAGCACAGGAAAGACAAATGCAGTTAGTAATGCTTTATTAGCAGCAGTGAAGTAACTTGTTCTGAAGTGGAGAAGGAAAGCTGCTCAGTGGAGCACACTAGTTCTCAGCATTGCAATTCTGCAGGTGGTTTGCTGCGAGCCTCTGATGTTTCTTCAGATGCTGCTGCTCTTGACTTCTTCCAGTAACTGTGAGGGAGGCCTCTTTTGAGAATGTATCTTTGAGATCTTTTGCCAAGATTAACCCCTTTTTCCCTCTTAACCCCACAGCTGCAGACTGACTTTCAGGGGCAGGAGGAAAGGGAGATCAGCTAAATAACATCAGGAGAGAAAGAGCCTCTTGGTCCTTGGCCTCTTGCCATGCAGAGAAATTGCAGCAGTGCACAAAAGATAGCAGCCTGTCAATTCACAGAAATAGCTTTGTTCACTCTGCTGAGCTGTAACACAATAGGAGTCCTATCTGCTACGTTAATCTAACTGGGGCATTTAATTTCACTAGTAATTAAGTTTGAGATCATCTTGTCTGATTTTCCTAAAATTGAAAAATACTTCACCAGTGAGGTCATGGTGAGCTGGTCCCTTCACAGAAGTGGCTTTGTACTGGGTGCTGCTGGGCCTTTGGCTGGGAGTGAGCTGGGTTGGGAGCATCCACTGTAGGGTGCCATGGTGTGCAGTGTGAGTGTGTTCGGTGTTTTGAGGTGGCTGGAATGTGTTATTGATGCCTTTGTGCTTTTATTGGAGCTTTTTATTTCTGTCACAGAATCAAGCAGAAGTCATCTAGTCCCTTACCTTGCCAGATAATTTGATCTATTATCAGCCTTGTGTTTGCTTCAAGCTACCTCCCAGCAGTGACTTCTCTGTATCCTATCCCAGTAGCATAGTGTCAGCTTTCTCTCCTATTGATCTTTGAATTTCTGTAACTGTTCAGTACCTCTTTGTACCCATGAGGCCTATTAAATTACTCCCTTAGGGTGTTTATTGATTTTTTTTTATTATTTTTTTTTACTGCTTAGTGAAGCTTGAAATTCTGTCGTTCATTGAAGCTGTCCTGAGTTAACAGAAATCCCTGTCAAGCAAATAGAATCAGCATGTGGCAACCAGAATTTTAAATGACCTGTCTGGGGAAGCTCTAGTTAAAGACGCTGTAGTTAAATATTTTCCCTTTCTTATGAAAAAACAAGAATGGATGTCTCTGGTATCTGAAGCCAGTGTGTGTAAAACTGATGGGTCTTGCTGCTATACGTGGTGACAACCTGCTGTCTAGGTTTGGAAGACATTCCCTAAAAGCACACTTCCAAGGCCTAGCTTGCTTGGAGGAGCACTGTGTTTTACTGGAGTGTAAGACTGTTCTTTCACTCTTCTTTGCTTTTTCTGATAAGAAAGGCACAAAGGAAATTCTGAATCTGCCCAATAACAAATGGTTAGAATCTGCAGGTCATTTGTGGGAGACTGTACATCTTGCACCATGCACAGGGAACAACAGTGCTCCAGAATATCTTGCTGTGTAGGAAAACTGCCTCTGCTTCCTGTCTTTGGCCACACCACTGCAGTTTGGGGGTGAGAATAGACAGAAGTTGTGTTATCACATTTTTCAGTAAAACTCTGAAGGATAGGATACCACTGCTCTGTTTTTTGCCTGCTGA